TCTCCAGGGACTGGCCACTGGATAACATGTTCATAGCACTGAGAGGAAGCTTCATCTCCTCCCTTCTAAGGAGTAAGTCTGGCTGTACTTCTTCTGAGACTTCATGTTATATTCCGTATTCTCGGCCAATACCACAATTCAAACACACTGCCTCTTCTGGGGGTCTTCCTTAATGGCTGTCCCGCGCTCACATGCATGTGATGTAGTCGAGAATACCCTGGCTTGGTCCAGGCACTCCTTACTCTCCCAAGTGACACCACATCCCAGTCGTTTTTGACCTCGTAGGATGTTAATATTGACTCTTTTTGTTAGTCAACTGCCAGTTTTACTTACTGTTCATCTGAATAATATATATGTCTGTATATCTACTCTGATTAGGTAACTGGGCTGTTTGAAACAAACACCCCCAGAACAGCTAAATTTTAACAGTCACTACCCACACCTGCCACAACAGATTAGTACGGCTTGTCTTGATCTTACCTAACTCTTTTGTTTTATGTCAAATCTTCCTGTTTTCAGGGAATAAGACTTCTTGATAGAAGCTTATATTTTGACATAAAGAACTTTGGGGCTGCAAGTGTAAGGCAATTTTATCCTTATTTTCTAGTTGGAATATCGACCTATTTGAATTTTATGGTGTTCATGTCGTAAGAACATCATGTATTCTACAAACCTTGACCTGGTTTTAGCAGCATAACTGTATTGGATTTACTGGCCACATCAGACTGAATACACTATTTGAGAGATTAGAATTTCTTTGCTGTGCACGCAATTGCTACCTTATAAAGTAGTATTGACACCGCAGTTCGCTCTCTTTATAACCATACCCACTATCATTATAGTTATTATTTACAATTCAGAAGCACTGTGTTTCTTCTTAATTGCAAATGGACGAAAACCATTGGCCAAGCAGAGTTAAAATTTTCATCAAGCAGGATTCTTAAGTAGGGTATTCTTACAAGGAAAATTTCTTTTTACCTTAAACTAGTTCTGAAAATTCTTTTTGAATCAGCCCCATTAACAATCCTTTTGAAACAATGTCATCGTCTCCTGGATAGTCATCAATATTGCATTCTTGCTGGAAGTTCCTATTCCGTTGGTCACTCAGAACCACTCGCTGCGGGGGGTCTTTATTGATTTGTATCAATGTAATTGAAAATATTGGATTGGATGTATGGGGGCTTAGAATTTGGGCTGTAGAGCCAGATTCCCGGGGCTCAAATCTCCGCCACTTCCTATTTGTGTTATATTGGGCAAGTTATTTAACTTCTTTGTGCCTTAGTTTCTTCATCTTTTAAATAATTATCTGGAATATTCAGTATGTTCATACATAAATGAAGGGACTTCAAAAGATAAGATTTTTCATGAACCTTTTGAAGCCTTCTCACAGTACCTTTAGAACCATACATAGCAGTAGAAAGTACTCAAGTTTCAGCCTCAGAATAATTGACTTGCCAATTAAATATCTAGAGGACTACCAGAGAGTGGTGCTTCAATTGGTCTATTTTTTACATAGCATTGCAGACAACAGTTAGTAGCATGGTCTATATAGTACAACATATTTTTTTCTACTTTCACCGTGACCGTTCTAAGTGGTAATGACCAATTATGGTCTTTTATGGCATATTAGTAATGTTAGGATACACATTTCTGTAGCTGGGCATTCTACCTAACAGTGCAAAAAGCACAAAAAAAGTGTTCTTTGCTATGGTGTGTATGAGGTGAGCTTCAAAAAGTTTGGTACAAATAGTCCTTATCTTTTAATTCCATTTTTCCAAGAACTTTTTGAAGCCCTCTCGTGTTGGGTGAAACTACAGAATAAGGTGGTTTATCTGTCTGTCTTCGTGGGAAGAGTCTTGTCTCTAGGCTGCCTCTGCTGGGGCCATGTGAACCAGAGATACCCAACACAACACTTCTGAGATAGAAGTGCTGCGGAGGTCCACACTGTTGCCACACCAGTGAAAAGCCCTGGACATGTTTTAATTTTCCAGAGAGAAGGTCTCCTAGACTTTTATAGTTCTCTCTTCCCATAAACCCATTTCCACCGATATTTCTTTTTTTCTGACTAAAAATAAAAACCAACTAATTTGTTAGAAAATACTGCTATCAGAATAATTTGGTTAAAACTCTTATTTCATTTAACTTTCTTTTCACCAGATAAAGAAACCAGGGACTGGCTACTGTGCTAAGAACTTTGGTGTCTTATTTTTACCCTACATTGTCTATTATATATAATCATTACTTGAGAATTGTTTTCTGAATGAATGAACTAGCCTGACAGAAGGTCCATTCTTTGCCAGATTTTGCCTTCCCGTGTTTGCAGAGACAGCGAGGCAGCTTACATGAGTGAATTGGGTGGGTGGGAAAGGAAGGCGTAGGGACTATGGGGAAAGGCATCTGAGGGCCGGATTAAGCACCACCGACACTTTGTGCCATGTGCCATGGGAAAGGAGAAGTGTCTGGCTGAAGCCTATGAATATTTACCCCATATAAATGATAGCCATTCTTCTAGACTACTTCTATTTCTCAACTCAGTATGTACTATTATTCAGTGAAATAAATATAAATATGTATGCACACTCACACATTGGCCCCTCTGCACATTGTGCATAAAGGTCACTTGTCTGTGTGATATTTGTGCTTATTGAGAACTGATGGATGTTGTTCCAAATGTATTAACAAATCTGTTTTCAGTGATTTCTAATTCTTATCAGTGATAGCACGAACATTTATTTATTGCTAAGTGGAATAAAAGCAAAAGCAACATATTCCCAAGAAAACATATGGATGACAGCTAGCACATATGGACAATTATGCAGTTAGGGTGACTTCCCTGGCTGTCTTCTGAGAATTGGAGGCAGAACAGCTAGAAAGAATAGCCACTGGCGTGTTCCAAAGGGAGCTTCAGTGCTTGGCTTTGACCTTACGCCTAGCCCTTTGAACCTCCCAGCTGCTTCTTGGGAGAAAGATGTGTCTGTCTGCTCCCCTGAGAGAAGAGTTAGAGTCTCGGGAATTCTATGGAGCCCTTCTCCCTGCCCCACACAGTTGCTAAGAGTTAGAACCGGCTCTCCGGCCGTGAGTTGGACATTCATTGCTAGTATGCTTAGTCTGGCAACTCCCGTCCCATAAATGAAATGTATATGGACTTCGAAGCTCTTGACCACTCCCTTTTACTGGACTTCCTTAGGGTTTTGTCTGGTTTATTCCATTTGTAGGTGTAGGCATATTTATATTACAGTATCCTAATTCTTGATCACCATATTCTTCTTCTTTTTCTAAAAATCTTAGCATAAAGCATCCCACAGCAAGAATGGTAACTTGCAACGCCTTTTTTATTCTTCTTACCAGCTCTTGACATTTGTCGCTTCCTTGAAACTTTCAGTCTTGAGAACGGCCTTCTTTCTCTTGCTTAATTCTTTGCTTGTGTGCCATGCTAATTTCCCTTTATGTATACTTGTTTGATGTGGCTCCTTTGTCTTTTCACTTCATGTCTGTCAGTCTCCTTGGTTGAAATGTTTAAGTTCTTTGAGGGTGGGGACCAGGACATTTTTGACTCACTGTGCCGATGTTGTGCTTAGTAAATGGCTTTTGGTAGGGCATAAAATTTACTGAGATTTTGAAGCTGGATAAAGCTCGTGTGAATATTTTCTAAGTTCAGAAAATTGAGTTCTTTTTTTGAAAAATGGATACCTATGCCATCAACAAACTAAGTCAATTTTAGAATGGCTCAACCTCTTAGTAAAATATTGCAAATCAATTTAGAAAATAGTTATGGGAGGGAGAAAAAGACATTTTGTGGGTATTCAAATAAACTTTGTTGTTCTAAGGCATTTGAATAGAATTTTTCAACAACAAGGCAGGTTAATGTTTACATTGCTGTATGTTACACGGCTTCTTTCTAACCGCTGTGTGTGGCTCAAAATCAACTATTGGACAGATTTTCTGAGCTCTCTCTCTCTCTTCCTGTTTGTGTGAGCTACTGAGGAATTCTTCCGTAGTCGCTCTGCTCCTTTTACATACTGTCCACGTTCAAGAGGACATGGGAGCGTGTGCGTCACGTACTCGGCATGCTGGGAGGGCAGAGGCAGCGCTGCTGAGATGTGTCTGGGTCTTCCCTGAGTACGCATACACCGTGCTTTTTGTTCTCATTTTTAAAATTTTCATCTGGATTTGCTATTTTTAAATGTACCATTTTCTGTACATATTTCATGTATGAATCAATATATGTCAAATATACAGTTTTAGGCACCATTTTTTAGTACTATGGTTTAAATTATGTGGTCACATTTAGGCAAACCTAAATATAAAGTATTTGTTCATCTTCTTGATTGGTATGTTATTATAACCCAAATTTTTGCTACTCCAAATCACAATATACTTTCATAGTAAGCTTCATGATGAGTCATATAGGTAGGTTGCATTTCAAAAGATAGGTGATAGATTCAGACCACACTTGGGATAAATATAGACAGCACTAAATTTCTCATGGACATTCATACATGATGAAGCTTAGACATTTGTAACAAAGAGACGATGACAGTGAAATTCTCTGTACAGTGAAGAAAAGCCATGCCCAAATCACAGGTGATAATCAGCTTTTTTGAACACTACTCAATAATGAGCAATTCACTATAATTTCATAATTGGGACACCTCATTAGAGATAATTGATGCTAATCAGAGTGAATTGACTTGAAGATGATGTCTTCCAGATTTTGTGCCAAGTGAATTATTTTGTGCCCCTTTTCATGTGAAAGATTTAAAAGATATTCAATTAATTGGGACATTTGTAAGGCATTTGTTTAAGTGGCTGCTAATTCAACTGCGTTAGCAGCATTAACATGACATGGATATGTATTGGACATAATAAAAAGTGTACTCCAAACATGCATGTTCAAATAATCTTCAGTTTAGTCGCAAGCATTTAGTATGTTTGGATAAAACTCAAAATTATGGGAGAAAAACTTGGAAGTGAGGTTAATGCTACCTTTCTTTTCACAGCGAAGCCCTCAGTTTTAATCGCCACCGACAAATCAGGACGCCTTTCAAAACAGCGATTGCTTGCAGTCACTTGATGCCATTCTTACTTAGCTCCTTCACCAAGTGCTTGGGGTCCCCGCCTTCCCGTCTTTTTCCTTCTCTTTTTCTTGCCTTTGCTTATTTCATGTGTCTTTCATATCATAGACCCACACTGCCTTGTGTTGAAGGAAGAAGCTGCGTGATGTACTGCACATGTCCTAAGGGATGGAATTTAACCTCAGTTTCTGTCTCTCCCCCGCACAGTCCCTTCAGTCTGAATATGTTCAGTACTAAGGCCTTGCCTCTGCGGTGACAGCTGGTCCACCCTTAGAAACAAGCTCTTCAATGGACGAGCAGTGTAGCGGGAAGCGACTGCTCGCTGGGAGGAGATCTCGGCCTTCTTGGGAATATGGGAAAGGAGACCGTATTGACAGTTTAAAGAAAGCACTAAGAAAAGACCTTCAAGAGACGTGAAACCAGAACCTTCTGGTTAATGACTACTGTAAATGCACTGAGACTATGTTTATGGAGATGTGAGCAAGTTTTAAGACAGTTTTAATGTTGAATTTGGCATTTTGAAAGGTTATTTTTAATGTATTTTGGAAATACATTTGTTAATTACATTTACATGTACAGTGTTACATTATGTATGTATTGTCAACTTTGAAAGACTATTTTGATAAATTTATAAATATATGAAATGATGTAAAAACTAGACTATATTTTGATTTAGATTTTCCTGCTGTTTGCTACCAAAATTTTGTATTTAAAGTTTGTTCAGGTTCCTTGTGTCTACAATGAGAACATAATTCCTTCCACATAAGAAAAAGTAAGGGAGAAAGATTTTAGAAAGTTATTTTTATGTTCCCTCTATGATTACTGCAAGTCAGTTCACTCTCTGGGAAGTCCGTCTACTTTAAGGCGCTCGTTTGAGCTTACTGCTGGCAAACGTGTAATGACTGGATATGGTTTATGTCGATGGTTCCCTTTCCCTTTGTTTGTGTCGCTGACCACTTGAATGATTTCTGCAGCCTTGGGGGCTTTTTAAAAGGTGTGTCATCTCATTGAAGATCAGAATTCACTGAAAATTCTCTCAGAAAACAAGGATTTTCTCTATGAAGTGACTCAACATTCCGAGTATCTGATTTCCTTCCTCCTCTCCAGTGAGTTCTTTACGCAATTAGAAGATTGTGCTTGTGGTACGAGATTGGGGTTGTCTGTCAGCACGCATGGCCCCACACGAATTTTAAATCAGTGGGAGAAAGAGATGCTGCTAACTGGTTCTCTGCATCAAAAAATATTTTTTTCAAACAAGCATACAAACCCCGGCACACATTCTAGCCTATCAGGGACCAGACCTGGAATGAAGGGAGCCTTTCGGTACTCACAGCTCTTTCGTGGCAGTATAACTCCATGTTCAGGCCGGCGGATCCTGCAGACTTTATTTCTATGGGGACCTGGGGAGCCTTAGATCTGATCCGCTTCCAGGCTGCTTAAAAACTGGCTACTCAGAGCCATTGAAGATACAAGTGAATGGATTCATATGAAGTGCTTTATTCCCAACCATAGAATTATTAATAATGTATGTATTAGGAAGAGGGTACCTTGAGACTGCTTTTAAAGGCTTCAGCAAAATTTTTTGTTCGTGTTTTAAGTTTTTAAAAAGGCATTTGAATGAAAGTTTGACTCAGGTTCATTAATTTAACCTTCAATAACTGCAGTAACAAACAATTGCACTAAACTGATGGGAAATGTGTTTTAAGAATAAATTATGTGGAATTCAAATGAAAAAGTTAAATATTTTATTATAAAGGAAGATTGATTGTATAGGAATATGATAGTATTTTAAGAGATTTATTGGTGAAAATGGAAATGACATTTGAGAAGTAGGAGAAAGGAAACCATGTTGACAGTTTTAATTCTATGAACACTAATTGTGTGCAGCTATTAAAATGATTGTAAAATTGACTACTGTTAATTCTTTATAATTATGCATGTATATAGGTCATATGTATTTACATGTGTATGTCTTAAATGTATTTATACACATGTGCATACATAGGCACACCAAGAAGTATATGTATATAATATAGATTATATAGCAAAGTGATTCTACTTCAGTAATAAAAATTGTTTGACATGTATTTTGTTATGAAATAGTTTACCTTCCAAAAGATATTTTGTTTTATTTTAAAGTGTAGAAGAATACACTGCTAATAAATAATAAAAGTTTTATGCAATTTATCTATTTCCTGGCTTTTTTATAGCTTGAATTTTGAGTTTTCAATACATGGACGTCTTCCTAATGTTATTTTTGACTCACGCTGATGGGTGCCTTTTGAGTTTTCCCCATCTCTCCGTTCTGGATGTTTAGCTTATCTTGTATTAACCTCCAGGCCACGGTCACTGCCTTAAATACACGGTGAGCTCCAGGAAACTACACAGGGAAGTTCACAAACATCAGTCTAGTCTCCACCGTGCTCTCTTTCTCTTTCTGTAACTTTTTCTCGGTTAAAAAGCAAACAGGCAAACGAACAACAGCAAAATAAAGCAAATGCTGTTCACACTTCAGTGTCCTGAGTCGTGCTTTGGTTATTTAAGACTAACAATATACTGACCATCGGTTCTTTTTGATAAAGAAGGGTCGTTTTTCCTAGGGAGAAATAGAAACAGATCTTGCACCTATTCGATCCGTGCCATGAAGAGCTGGGGGAGGAAGAAGCTACAACGTTTATTGGAGACATTTTAAACTAGGTCTCTTTTGGTTGGGATGCTTTTGAATTTTCCTTTTTAATTTGGAAAGGCTGTGGGTGGGAAGGTAATTTTACTTATGGAGTTGTTTTAAATCATAGATAATGGAATAGGTCATATTTATAAAAGACACGACATCGGTAACCTACCAATTGGCTGTCCTTACCACACTGAGTGGAACTGTTAGAATACCCAAGTTCTCGTGAAGTCAGGTGTTAGGGAGATTTCCTCTGAACCCGTGAACTTGTCTCCAAAACCAGCAATTCTCTTTTCTGCTGCAGATTTAGTCTTTAGGAAAGACACAAAAATGAAACTGTATTAGCCAATTGCAATGGATTTCTCACCTCTGGTCATTGAATTTGCATAGTTTTGTACCTTTAGATGTAAAGCGTTTTATCAGTTTCAAAAACACTCTTAAAGGAACTACCTTGCGCGCGCGCACACACACACGCACACACACACACTGACTCAGCAAGAACATGAATTCACCGATTACTGTAAGCTGGATTTTCAAATTGGTACTCGTGTGCTTTCCTTGCTGATGTGTTGAAGCCATCACTATATTACATATTTTGACTTAAGCCAATTGTTGGTATATGAGAGGGTTTTAAAAACTTTGTGGAAAATTTTCATTCTCTTGTATCTCCCTTTTTCCTGGGGCATTTGGAAGCCCCTTTGTATATGCTGCAGGAATCAAGTCATAAAAGATAGAGATCGGCGCCCTTGCCAAACGCTGTCAGGAGGCAGAGCTGTTGGCTGCAAAAGACGTGTAGATCTCTGCAGCACTCCGCACAAACATCCTGGTCATTGCGCGCCTTCCCCAGAAGATGGATTAAGAATACATGACATACTATTTCCAGTTACAGCTGTCGTATGCTGGACAAAGTTGACAGTATCCAACTTCTTTATTTACATTCTGGTCGCCCAGGGGTGGCACCCATAACATGCAAAGGAAAGTAGAAAATCATTGTATTAAGTTATTTTGAGCTGAGTTGAAATGTTAATCTATTCCCACCCAGTTCCTTTTCTATGGATTGAATTATAATAATCATCGAAGGGAAAAAAAAGCTTTTCTGGGGAGTCTTCAAGCTTTTTTTTCTTTTTTATCATACTTGCAAGTAGAAACATTGAAAACCTACTTTTAGTGCAAAATATATTTGAAAGTGGCTTCACATCAATACACTAACTCACATTTTCACTTACCGTAGTGCTTGGTTTTGACGTGCATACTCCAGGGTTTTGACACACACACACACACACACACACACTAGCATGGAGGGGAATCATGTCACCCGTTCCTATTTCTCCTTTGAATCAAGGTGACCAAAGAATTTCTGAGACGCCTGTGTGCAAGAGAAAAGTGGGGCAAGACTTCCACTGCAAAGACTTCCATGAAAATTAGACGATATAAGGGTATGATTTAGCAAATATATTTTGCTTATTTATATTTGACTTTCCCCCACAAAGATTTGAGGTGTCCCCAAAGAACAGACAAGAGCCCGGAAGCCACCACATTGGCACATACAGCTGAGATAGATCGGTCCCTCCAACTCCACAGGATGGCTCTCTCTCCAGATTGGGCTAGTTCACATGAAAGCTGAAGAATACTTGACCATCACCCAACTTCAGACATCTCACTGGGATTGATTTTACGCCAGCGTCTGGAGAGGAGATGATCTTAAGGGAAATCTCACAGGGTCGTTATCCAACTCCGCATGCAAATACCAGGCGCATGGCAAAGAGTTGCAAAGGCCAATTAAAGCCAGAGGCCAGAATAGTGTCATGACAGTCGTATCTTATCATCTATCTAGTAGATGTGGGGGTAAGTCAAGCAGTAGTGTGTGGGACCAGGGCTCTGGTTTATACGTACAAGAGAAGCCCACTCATCGACTCCCTTCTGACTCATAGAAACCCCATGCAGGGGTTCCCCGATGAAGCCTTTACAGTAGCGGTTAGCAGCCCAGCGCGCATTTTAAGCAAAACATGTTTACACCTGTCACTGAGATCAGTGAGTGGCTGCAGACACATTCTGTCTGTTAATGTCCTTGTGTCAAATCTCCTTAAACCAGAAAACCAAAAACCACACTGCCATCGAGTCTCTTCCGTATTGGTCGGAGTCGAGCTGCCCCTGTGAGTATCCAAGGGCACCTTTACAGGAGTGGAAAGCCTCTTTTTTTCCTTCTGTTCATTCAAACTGCTGATCTGGTGAGCTTTCCGTAACCGACTACACCGCCAGGGCTCTTTGCAGTAACCTGGGGCGTCTTAAAAACAGCGAACAGTGGCTTTCGACAGTGGACAGTGCGAACTATGAAAATAAAAATAATTTCTAAATGATCAAGGTTGACGAAGGTGGGAGGGGAAAAAAGGAGTTGATACCACGGGCTCAAGTAGGAAAAACGTTTTGGAAATGATGGCAACGTGCTTGATACAATCAATGGATGAATTGTTATCAGAGCTGTAAGAGCGCCCAATAAAATGACTCACTAAAATAAAAAAACTAAAAACAAACCAAAGAAAATGGTGGCTTTCAAGGGGATGAGAGGGCGGCTTAGGAGGTTACGTAGGGTGACTGTTTGGGGGGAAGACTCCAAGGGGTAATCCTTGATAGATTTTCTCAAAGGACAGGGAGGGCTCACTAGGAAGAAGTTTTAAGAAAACAAAAGCATTGGAGAGGAGGAGGTCAGCAAAGTGGCCCCAGGCGTTTTTTCCCCATTCCAACTGCACCAGCACATTCTTAGCCCATAGCAAGGCCTGCCCTATGGGCATTTTGTTAGCCAACCCTACCTCATCCACCGACAGTCCCATAGGGGCCTTCAGAAAAACAAAACTACTTTTGGGTCCTAAATCTCAAACACATTTGAGTCCTTCAAGGATACAAATAGGTGTATACATCATAAAGGGCAGGGTTCTTGGGGGAACAACTAGAGAGGTGCAAACAACTGTCTTTGGAAATGTATGAGGATACTTGGAGATAATAGCTTCTTCTTTAGACATTTTATTTAATAGAGGTGTCTAGGATTTTATAGCAATACCTTTTTGACAAGCTCAAACCTAGCCTAATGGAGACTAAGCTTTAGAGTACTGTGTTATTCTGGGTAGACTAGAGAAACAAATCCATGGACACGTATACAAGAGCAATTGAACATTGAGAAAGCATCCCAACCCAGTCCAGATCAAGTCCATAAGTCCAATATTAGCCCATATGTCGGATACCAATCTATAAAGTCTCTTCAGAATCACGAAACACATGCAGTGATGCCGAATGCAGGACGATCACAGGCCAGTGGGTAGAAAGACTTTGGATCCAGTGGCGTAAGCATCTCAGCGTTGGCAGGGGTCTGTCTCTCTGTGGCTTCTTCAGCATCAGAAGTCTGGTTGCATCAGGGTGGCTTCTCCAACTTAGGGCACTAGGGTAGTTCCATGTGTCTTGTCAGCTGCACTGTCTCCCAGGGAGTGGCAGAGAGAGAAGTGTTTCAAGCCTCCAAGGAGGAAGTACCGTTTTTCCCAGAATTCTCAGGAGAAGGCCATGCCCAAACAGAGGCCTCATGGGCTATGATCTGGTTGACAGGCTAGACTCCATCCCTACACTTAAAAAAAAAAAA